GAAATCGCGACCCACAGATTGCGAGTCGAGCGCCCTAACCACCGGGCCATGCCGGGACTACAAGTTCTGGTTCCTGAGCTCTATCAAACCGTTTTTTTTTGTTTTTTTCGCGGTTTAGATGAGTTGTGTCAATAGAGACGGCGAGGAAGGCTCAACGAAGATTAATTACTGTTTTAAGGTGAGTAAGTGACCACCTGCTTGAAATTAACACTTATAGTACTTTGAGCTAAAGAAAGCCAGCCTATTTGACTCCGCATTTTTGTGACTGAACTATATTGAATGGTAACTTCTTTTGGCAGTAAATTGTATTTTTTAGGTTAATAAATCAAGTGCTTTATCAGAGTACATTAGTTCGTTCTAGCTTGAACACCAGAAACAGTGATACCCTTCTGAAACCCATCAAATCCCCGAATTAGGTCACATAGACTCGCAGACTGGGTATTAAAACATTGAAGCAAAAAATACTTAATGCGAATAGTTAAAATATGTATATATATTTTACATAAGAACTACTGTTTTCTAGATTCAAGGTCGGTGAGACATCATTGTTTATCGTACACACCTATGGGTAGTGCAGTGCTTGGTAAATGTCTGATAATTAGGTATTATTCTGCACCACTAACGTTTATATGGAAATATGCAGGGTGTCTGGTAGCTCTGTATGTATGTTGTTGTTTTTTTTTGGGGGGGGGGAATTAACTTGCTTGAGAAGGATACACACACATGCGCATATATATATTATCTTTAAACAAATAATTCTGATCGAAGTGCATTTTAGATCATGAAGTTTGATAGTAAAACTTTATCTTGCGTACACTAGGTTGCGCGCCAAGCAACTCTCGTACTTGATGATACCAATATTACTGCCAGTGAACGTAGCAAAGCAACAGTCAGACCATCGGAAGCTCATTCAGTATCCTGACATCGTGGGAAGTGGTTGTCGTATTCTGACCTGTAAACCGCAGACTTCTCCTTACAATGTAAGTAGGTCATTCTAAGCATATTTTCTTTCCTGTTTAAAATCATACTTAATGCTCGTTCTTGAGAAAACTGGTATTTTTATTACGCATTTCTAAAGTATGACAAGTCGAATAAAATCATTGTAACAGCTTGCGAATGGGTTTGATTTGCTAATTTCAAATATAAGCGTAACGCAAAAGGAGCTCCTTCAGCATAATTCAGATGCTGCTTGAAATGTAGTAACTTATTAGAGTTCACAATTTTTTATACTTGTATATGAATTTGAAGTAGTGATAAACACCTTCTTTATTCATTTGATAATTCAAAGTACCTTATATTACTTTAGTTTCACACATAGTTTCTGAGATGTTTATAACACCTTGAAGGACGTTGAGCAAGATTATGATTTTTAATAAATGAATAATGGTGCATATTTATCAATTTGATGGATAAATGGATTTATTATGAACTTAAAACATGAAACATAAATATGTGTGTGTTCTTCATAAAAATGATAATTATATTTGAGATAAAAGCGATTAAAGTGCCGAGGATATACAATGGGGGAACAATATCTGGAATAAAAAAACAATAAGAAAATCAAAATTCAAAAACGGAAAGATTGATTTACAATCTAATTGTCTATTGTGTGTCATGTGAAAATTTGAAAACTAAATCCTCCAGAAAGTATCAATTAAATTGAAAAAAAATCAGTATTATGGACAAGTAATTATCTAATTTTCTTGAACTGTTGAGCATTGAAAATAAAAATGGCTAAGATCTAATTAAAGTATTGCATTCTGTTGCAAAAAATTAACTGATCAGCAACGTGCTCTTTGCAGTTCTTACGCTCGACGCTTTTGTAAATTATACACGTATATGATAAGAGTTTAGTCCCTAATTGGTTCCTTTTTTTTATTAATATATTACTTGTTACCCCCGAATGGAATTTAACTTGACAATGGGGAAGACGAAAATCTGATATGAATTATTTCAATACATAGTAGGAATTTGTCTAATACTTTCATAATTTACATAAAATTAGGAAACATGCAAGACTGCTGATTTTATACTCGTGTGTTACGCACCTTAACACATCTTTTAACCTGGTGTCCTATGTGGCAGTAAATGGTTAGTACACCATAGAAGTTGCACTTTATGATGCTTACAAATACGTTTTTTATGTGTGTTTTTTTCATTTTACTTATCTTAAACAATCAAATTTGGCCTTTACAGAAAAGATAAATGTATTCACTCTGATAATTTTAAGGTATTATTTCCTACCGTTTTTGTTTTATTCTTGCGTTTAACCATAACATTGGCTTGAGAGGAAATTTTTCAAGAGTGAACGATAATCTTTACTTAAATTACTACTTTTGTTCACAGTCATTTAAATAAAAACGTTTGGAAGAAATAATGATTAATGCAGTACGTTTGCAATAAAAAATTTGAGGAAAAGAATAACAAGAGTCAACCTGCTGCATAAAAGGATAACATGAATTGTTTGTCATCCGAAAATAATAAAACATGTATAAATTGATGCCTGTTAAGGACGTTGTAATTTCTTTAGGCATAGAATATATAAATTGGTGAGCAAAATATGATGTTTCCATAGGCTATATGTTCTACTTATACGTATAAAAAATGTTGAAAATTGGGTTCAGTTTTTGTTTCAAATACATATTCACTCAATGTGTAAGTAAGCATGCAGTGTTCGGTTTTGGCTTACAGTTTTTTCCCTGGTGTGAAGTAGTGTTACTACTGATAATGGTGTATATTAATATATTTTGTGATGATAGTTACAGGAAACATTATTTAGCATTCCAGTAGAAAAACAAACAAACCAAATATTTTCCACATGTCTATATAGTAAGCTGAATATACTTTTGACTTTATAAACTCGATATACCAAGATTTTACTATGTTCTTCTAGAAAAGTATTGACGCGAAACTGATTAAATTGAAATAAAGATGAAAATAAAATCGCAATCACACTTCCCATTATTGTTCTTTACTAGTGTGTCTAAATCTTATAATATAATGTTTACTGTTGAGATAGTTAATATAACATAAATGTGCTCAAAATCACAAAAAAATGGTAAAGTGTTATCGACAGACCTGCAGTAATATAAAGATCTGATGGTCATAAATCAATTCAAGCATTGTCTTTCAGAAAAAAACAACAACATAGAAATAAACTAAGCAGAGAAGTTTGTTTTGAGTCCCTAACCATTTCATTGATTTAGTCATAATATGTAAAACTGGAAATATGATCAGGAAAGAGCACTTATTACACTCTTCACATATATATATATATACGTTCCGCACTTATCCATAAAGCCTCTGTATGTTGGTATGAAGAAACTCTATACCAATCCCGTCTTTACAAGTTTAGTTAAGGCTAGAAGAACGCGAAGCTTTTTTGAATATGATTTAGATAACTGTGACGTTAACTGTCTATTCAAATTATTTTAAGATCTTAACTATAATGTTTCTTTACAACTGGTAATTTGAAAAGGAGCACGCTTCACTACTTTTGCAGATATGCTGAAGGAAACTTGATGTTACTAAATACAAGATGAATCTAAATAACTTTGAAACTCTGGAAGTGTGATATAGCTGGCTTGATGTGTTCTGAAATAGAGCAAAAGGCTTCTTGGCAGCAGACTTCAACAAAAAAGGGGTAATTGTCATTCTAAAATACAGTCTTTGTTATTGAAGACCCGTGTTGGCAAAATTAGAAATTAAGGTTAAAGACTTTTCAGTACTGTAAAAAAAAATCAAAAGATTAATAATGTAAGTGATTGTTTCTGTTCCAACTGCTTTCGGATTCATAAATTGTGCTTCTCCAGTATTCCTAGCAGAATCTTGATTTTAAAAGTTACGGTTTAAACGCCAAAACAAAAAACCTGACATTTTTGACAAAAACACGTAATCTGCAGATGGTTTTTTTTATGTACATTCATCTTAATTGGTCCATTTCAGATTCCAAATCAGAGATCAGTAAAAATTGCGTTTCAGATCTATCCTTTGTCTCACACAAGTCACTACTATAGAGTCCTTTCATTCAATACCAGAACTCATCAATGAAGTTGGACAGTAAAAGACAAACGTTTTGTTTCTGAATGGACGGTTGGTAGAGTGTGACAATTTGTGTTTGAAGTTAACTTATTGTTAAGCCCGGTCTAGGTCAATTATAGAGTACTGAGTGGAACCTCAACATGGTCCAGAGATACTGCATGTTTTACAATGAGTAGATTGAAATTAAAGATGCTGACGGAAAAACATTCAAATTCTTAGCAAAATATACATGATAAAATTGTTTTTCTGTTATCAAATGTGTGTAGTGACAAAGCACAGGCTGCTTCACAAATAATATCATATGATTAAAAATCGAATGAAGTAGAAATGAAAATATAATTCATATAAAGTCAAGGAGAAAATATTTTGTACTCAATGAAGAAGAATATGTTTTCCTCAAGGAAATTATTTATGTATATTGGAGTAAACAGATAAATTGTGAACCCTAATTGGTTTCTGACGTTAAGGCAACTTTGCAAATGCCCCCGTTCAAACAAATTAATTTTAATTATAATAATGTGCTACATAAGGAGGTTCGTTATATTTACAAACAGCATAATACACGAAAAAAGCTCAACAACACCTACACATACTAGATGACGAAAACAGTTTATGAATAGTGCAAATATAATTAAAATAAAAAGTTATTTATTGCATAATAATTCCGATATCTCGTCTAACTAGAGCTTCAATGTCTGAATATTTTATAATAGTGTTCGTTTATTTGTTTCAGTTAGACAAAGGCCTATCTGTATATAGCTGTTTCTAATGTTGAATTGATAGATTAGAATGAAGGTAGCTAGTGAACACCACCCACTGTTAACTATTGTCTTATTAACTACTGATATTTGAACGTCATTCTTACAATGCACTCAGTGTCCCAATGCGAGAGGCATGTTTTTGCGGCAACGAGTGTCGAACCATGAACTCTCGGATTCACACTCGGAGCACACTAAACACCTAACCACGCCTGTCCCATCTTATAACCTATCATTATGTCTATGATCGATAGCGATTGATCTACTGTAGAAAAATAAAATAAATAAAAATACACATAAAACTATTCATGAGAACTATTGAAATGTGCTGTTGAATAATTGTAGATTATTTCCTGCCTAGGAATGTTGGAAGTTTACAAATAAGCTTTTGTTTGGATGGCTTGCAAACATTACTTTGTTATTCAGCCTGAACTACTTTTCGAAAAGTAAATATGTATGATTTATTTTATCTTCTCATATTACCATGAAATTCATCCACGTATTCTCTAAGGATGAAACCAGATATATTTACGTATTCTATGAAATATCGTACAAATAGACAGCATTTTAAAACTACCATAACATTATATGAAGCATTTTAGTAGTAAAACAAAATTATGATTTTCTAATCTTCTCCATAAGCGCTGAATCTTATGGTTTCTTTTAACTAATTTTTTTTTCGTTTAGCAAAAATATTTTTCATTTGCAAATATCAATATCCACGATAAGCTTTGAATAGTAAGTAAAGCACAAACCTCGTAAGTTTTAATGGTGATTAAGACCAGGAAAATATGGTTAACAAGGAATTTGCATTATGATTTACTGTTATGAGTTAGGTATCCTCTAACTACTTTGAATTGTAAATATTTCATAAATTGTCTTTAATTGAAATTTACTGATTTTAAGAGTAAAACGTTAAAGTAAATAATGTCTACTTTATATACCTTTTAAATACCACAACCAATAAATAAATATTCTTTGAAATATATTTTATTTTAATATATCTTATTGGAAATTAAATACTTTAGGTACCTTAAAACTAGAAGTTGTTCACTGTAAGCTAGTTTCTTAAATCATCAGCTACGGTATTTGTCTTTAAAATAAATCCTGGCATAATTAGTTGTTTGTCCATTTCAAGTTCTGTGATCCGTTATCATCTTTGGTTTAAATTTGACGTAAAA